GTCAAGAAGCGCTTCACAGTATGACTAGGTATTGTGTAGGCAAACGTGGCAGCCAATATGGCACAGGAATGTCCTACAATCAGACATGGAGCGAATGACTAATTCTATCTGGGATTTGTTGGCTATGACACCAGGAAAAATTCCCTTCCCTTTTCGAATTGTGCTATGAGATCTTTAACAACCATCTGGACAGGCAGACAGAACTCGGTTTAACATCTCATCCAAACAAATATAGAGTCAATTCACTTTACAGTGTGTTTTGTGAAGCGCTTTGGGACGTCCTCCCAATGTGAAAAGCGCTATATCAAATGCAAGGATTATTATTATTAAACAATAGCAACTCCACCCCCAGAATCACATTAGTTATTGGGTTATCACAATTCCAACAATTGGACCCATTTTTAAAAAGACATATGGAGCTGTATTTTAAATGATGGCAGTTGAATAGTCAGATCCAGTTCCCAATCAGTAAAAGACTCTGGATATTAGCATACAATGAACAATTGCACGTGATATAAAACAAAACTTGATCGAACCTGCTAGTGCAGTCAATCAATGGAAATCGTGGGAGACTATTGATAAGAGTGCCAGTGTGGAGCAAGGTGAAGAGCACCATTTGTAAAAAATGTTTACATTCCAGGTTTGTGCTAATTGAGCCATGAAAAGGGGAACAAAAGGGATACTTTTTTTTAAATATAAAAAAGTGGCCCATAAAAGATTTGTTCTATTATTTGTGACAATGACAGAAATTGATACCACTTGTGCGTAAGTAATGCAATTAATAAAAGAGAATTAAAAACCTAGTTGAATGTTACTTCATAACACAATGAAACCTCAGAATAATGACAAGGATGTTCACACATAACACATGCCTTGATAAAAGTTATTTTACTTTTTCTCCAAAAATCCTATTGTTATTCAAAGTTATTTTTGCCATACAGACGTTAATACTAGCCAAAGAGAGCATTGTTATATCTCATCTTCTAACCAACACTACGACTCATGCTCCAACTTGAGCAACAATTGTATGTTTACAAAACTTCTGGAGCACTGGACCCAAAGGAAACCACATAAATAACCACCAGGAAGTGACCAGATAGCCACAACAGACAGGGTCAAGGCTTTGATACTTGTTATTGCCAACCTTTCAGCTACCAGTCAGTATTTTCCCATGTGGAGATCGGGTAGCAAGGCATTAAAGAGACAATTTAATGGGATCTAAAATGTTCAAGTCTACCATACTAAGCGACCTCTTGCTGCTCATAATGGAGAGGACAGCTGGGCAATAGGTTCTCAGATTACCTTCTAGATTACATCAAATTACAGTGTTAAATAACAGACCTGCACAATCATTCGTCACATTTTAAAGTTGCACATTATGATTATTAGAATCTGGTTTAAAGTTTCAATCTGATCAACTTCATCATTATTTAGAAATGAATCACCCTAAAATCAAACTAAAGCCTGGATAAGAGCTGAATCTAATAGTTGTGTGAAAAAAGGTCAGGTCCAATTAATTAATGTTCAGTCCTCGAAGGATCATTGTCAAACTACTAAAACATTCTTTGAACTGATGAAGGTATTACCAAATTCTTATGTCCTTCAACTTCTGTTTGCTCTCAATTAAAAATGCATCAAAAACAGTTGCTCACACAATCATCTTGACCAAGTTGTTACAGGAAAGGCACCATCAAACAGCTGTCAGGCACTCCCCCTCTACCACCCCCCCACCCCTCAATATGGGGAAGGTAAAAAAAAATGGTGACTGAATAACCGGAGTCCACGCTACCTCATGCTCACTGAAAACAAACAAAATGACACTGGCCGATTGCCAAGGAATGTATAATACAGAGGAGGAAGGCAAAATAACTTTCTTTCAAAGGGGGAAAGGGCTTCTTGGAAAGAGTGAAATAAAGCAAGATGTTTTTTATTTAAAAAAAGGGAGAAAATATACATATTTAAAGCTTCAAATTGTTTAGCTATATTGCACCACAGAAACAGTAATCAGTTGACTCATATGTTCTAGCAATTGTTTACATGCAACAACCATATTATGTACGTAAGAGCACAGTAATCAATTTGAGTTAATACCAGTAAAAGTTTTGAAGAAAAGAGCATTTTGAGCTTTGAAGCACAAAAGAAGGGCATTGGATAGCTCCATTGAATTGGTTTTACTGCACTGTGGACTCATAGACCAATTTAGGCAACAAATTGGAGTTTTGCAAGCAACAGACTAAAATTTATTCTTATGACAGTTCATTCGTATAACAGGGTTTTACTGCGCGTTAGCAAAGAAATGCTTTACATATTTGTGTGAATAACTCATACAGCAGAAGGCATTATGCAATTATGAGGTGCACATGACTGGCTTTAGTACTGCAATAATTTTATTCATGATAAAGAAAGTCTACATTACACAATTTCCCCAGAGACTGTTTTCACGATTGTGCTCCGCCTTTACATGTCCAGCTGAAAGTCTCATGCACACATGAAGCTGACTTAACACACACAATCAGTGTTACAAGGCAAAGCCACATTGCCTAACGTTACAGGATGCCATATTAACCACAGTGAAGGACCACTTTAACAAAAGTCTTCTCTTTTTTGGTTAAAGGTTTCCCCTCCCCCTTTTAAACCAGAGTCTCTTCTGTTTCTATATGTGTTTGTTAACATTATTCTACAAATCAACCAGCATTCCATTAGTTCGCTTTAACCCATATAGATCAGGCAGCTATTCTCCTGGGATGGTGTTGGGGGTGGTAAGGATTATGGTTAGGGTTAGCCTTGACACTTGCCAACCAGCATCTGAAACTTTCCAGAATTAGATAAGCAGGAGAGTGCGCATTTCATTCCAACAATCTACCTCTGGAATTTCTACGTGTAGGTAGGATGATAATAATAATAAATAATAATATGTATGGAACTCTGTTTGGTTTGGATATGCAGGGCGATGGGTTTCCTCTTGTGTCAGACACCAGGCTGACAACAACAAAATTACATTTGTAAAGCGCCTTTCACGTCGGGAGGATGTCCCAAGGCGCTGAAAAAAAAGAAAATATGGAGCTGAGCTTCAATCTTGGCGGTGAAGTTTCAGAAAGCAAAGTAGAGCATCTGGCACATGTTGTTACGACTAATTTTTAAAAGCAGTTGATTTGCCACAAAATACACAATCGGCATGGCCTTCACATTTTTCCACCACAACATCAGCCAAAGAATGAGAAACATTTGTTGACCCACAAGATTTTTAAAAAAAAACTTATTTTTAACTTGAACAAATGTCTTCATTCACTAAGAATGTTGCAAATATATTGAACTAAGAAATAAACATATTTATTAGTACACGCCAGGCTCTTCCTTACAGAGATTAAGAATTTCACAGATTAGAAATTAATGGCAGTGCTTTCACAAATATGCAGTACCGACAATAATTCAGACTTGAATGTGATATTCAACCTGTTACTGAAGTAGAAGTCTGCCTATCACATCCATGCATTAGTAATAGATATTAACGCATTGATGTGATAGACATGACTTCTTGGATGTGAGATAGACTTCTACTTCTATCCCCCTCGCCAAACCAGCAGTGACCTCTTCCTTATAGAATGCTACACATTTCCCCCAAGCTCCTGAAGACGCTGACATGTGCTGGAGTAAAACAGGCTGCAGACATCTGCCCTCTTGTCACTCTCTCACGTGACTAGGACACCAAGCTTTAATGGGTTAGTCAACATGGAACCACCACGGCAAAACACCACCATATCCTCTCCAGACATCAATACATGCCTCACTTTAGTGAGGGTCAATAGACAGCTATCACAAGGGGAAAATGTGGCTAATATTGATTTCCCTCCCTTGCTCACCGAAGAAATGAGCAAATGTAATGTTTGCCCAAATCAGATATTAACTAACCAGCAGTAGCCTGGAACAGAGCAGCCTTTGTGTTTTATGTAAACACATACAGTAAACTCCTGATAGCTCAGCACTCCAAGGGAAAAGAGCTCAGTGTCAGGTTATCCAGAGCAGTGGATTAGGTATTTGTATAAACACAAAAATAAATGTGGCTTGATAATTTAAGTGATAGTAATAAGTTAAGCCACAGTCAAATTATCAGAAGTTTACTATATTTAAGTGCTTGAAAGCTTCAAAAAGAAAATATACATAAAATGTTTCCATTCAAAATATTTAATGTAGTACAGACACAATTTTTTTTTTGGAGGGGTAGGTTGAAAAGAATAAAAAAAAACAGATATACATTTAAACTCAACTCGTTTTTTAAAAATGTGACAGAACAAGTTTGGTGCTTAAGATCAGGCAAAGATAAATGTTAACCATACAAATGTCTTTACTTAAATTCCATGCTGCTAATTTTATGGCAGGCATTTGGCTCTCTCCAATCCCAGTTACTATTGTTAGCAATAATGGGCAGATTTTCCTGCACTAATTTCCGATTTTTCCTCTGTATGTTCCCAGAGCAGATGAAAAGAGCATAAAAACAATGTGCTCAACTATGTCGTTTAATAAATGACAATCAGAGGAAAAGCATTTGTTGACCTAATAGTACAAAAACATATTCCCAATAATTCTAAAACTCAGACTTAGTATTAAGAGAAAAATATAGCTAAGGCAGTGTTTTCCAGTAGAAATCGCTGACAAGCATACCATTTCAGCCACATGTACTAATTTTAGTAGAAAACACCTTACATACACTTACACAATACAAGTAAGTACACTGTACTTCACAATGTTCTTTTTTCCCCCATTTAAGATTATGTGACAATTCAGTGGATTTATTTTCAGCTTTACTGTACAATAGGTTTGCAATTAAAACATAAAACTGAATACCAATAATTTCAGATTTAGCCAATAAGGAAAAAAATGTCCTGGATTGCATTTTAATTTATGAATGTCACCTTATCTGACAAACAGTAGAAGTAGTAGCAGTAAGGTACTGAGTAAAACCAATTGGGAATAATTATACAAAACTAACAAAAAAAACTTACCGATTCATCCAATGCATAACGAAGACAACCATGCTCATACAACACAAAGAATCTGCGCTGCCATTTCTGAGGGGAGGAGGAAAAAGAACACATTTTGCATGAATTTAACAAATTTACAACTTTAATTACAAAACAACAACTCTAGGAAACATTTCTGTAGCACATCTTCAAATATACACAATAATGAGACTTCCCAGACATCTTATGTTGTGCAATAAAGCACTTCCTCACAGAACGGTGTGTAAAAAAAAATTAGAGAAGACACTGGGTTGCTCTCAGAAGGTTCCAGTTCATAATTTTCATCTGGTTCTCTATTATTTTTTAACTTCAACATTAGAGTTGGAAAATGCCCGTATGAATTTAATTAACTGTCAGAAAAAATTCCTGGCAACTCAAACTTCAGTTTTTGATAGGGTGTACATAAGCAATTTCTTTGTCACATTTTACGAAGTCATACACAAAAAAAGTTGCTTACATCCCTCAATTTATCCAGGTCATACACATTAAATGTGTAATGTCTGCAAATTTTCTATTACATGCAAGAATAAGAAAGATGATCCAGTGTACTTAAAGGTTATTTCTGACTCAGGTCAATAGCCATTTGATTCTTTATCTTTAAGAATGTCCCACATGTGCTGCAATATTTTAGAAAGCCCAGTACATTAAGACGTACAACCAAAATTAACTCATTCCAGCTTTAATCTAGTATAAATAAAATGTCTGGATAAACATTTATATTTTTAGATAAGATTAAAAGGTTCAAAGGATTTTTGTAAAACATACGTCATTCTTGAATAGGTCATAGGAGACGAGAGCAAAGCAAATTAATTCATTCATCACTACTGTAGGGGATGTGATTTTAACTTTGTGCGGTATTCACAAGCACCTAATTTCAGGAGATCAGTCAGCACAAGGTTTGCCATGAAGATGTTCCATTACACAGCAGATTCAAAGGCTGGGCCACTTGTTTAGGAATAGAGGTTTGAAGTTCAAGTACCAAAAAAAGGTTCAAGACTGATGAAGCTGCCAGTTTTGACTGCATACCCATTGCTGCCTCAAATTTGTCAAGTAACTGTTAAATACTGCAGTATTTCAGCTAATAAACCAGTTGTTCAGAAAGAGATCTTTATTCGGTAGGGCAAGCTCTTTTTAAGTGTTTCCAGTCCTAAAAATGAAGGAAGACTGTAGGAAGAGTGCATTCAAAGTATGACCTGTTAAAATATAAATGCTTAAAAATTGGAAGAAGAAATTCTCTGCTAACTACCAAATAACAATAATCCTTGCATTTAATATAGAACCTTGTCACATCATTAAGACGTCTCAAAGTGCTTCACAGAATATACTATAGAGTGAATTGACTATATATTTTGTGAAGTCAATACATCAAGCTATACAACACAGTTAAAATATCAGTATTTCTTGAGCAAGTAGGGAATCCATCACTTTTATTTTAATACATTACATTCAAATGTTTCTACAAGTTTCCAGAATAGATTTTACCAGTGACCCAATTCCAGGATTCTGCTAGAATGAATAGTGAACAGAATACAAATTGTTTTGCAATAATCGTTCCAAATAGTTTAAGCATTTAGTACGCTGAACAAACATTAACAACTCCACTCAAAAACAGCCAACTGCACTGCAACTATGTTCCAATTCTCCCAACCTCTGGTCAAACATATAATTTTAAGATGAAAAATATTTTCTCTCATATAATGAATCTGTAATTGCAGTGGGGGTGGGGGCAAGAAAAGGAGAAACTGCTTCATGGCAATACACTACTGATATAGAAGACTTAACCCACAATGGATACCACAATATTTTAACAACAGATCTCTGTACTTGTGTGTGTGTTGCACGAGACAAAAGAATTAAGTCAATACCAAAAATCAGTCCTTGGAAACTTACTCTTGATCTCTGCATTGGATTTTCAAAATCTGTGCCTTCAGGTGCCAAACATAGCCAGCCTCCATAGATGGGTTTAGCCTGCAATTAACAAAAAACAAATAATTAGAATTCTAACCAACCAAAAAAAAATTCAATCTTAAAAAAAAGTTATAATACACTTTTTCAGCCAGTTACAAACTTCCAAAGAGATTGACCATTAAAGTAAACACTTCTGAAGTCAAAAGCCTGTGAAGGCACAAAACAGGATGTTCTCTGGCCAGGTTTAAGTTCCACTGTAATGTCCAACATAGGCCACTGCAACTTGACACATGATGTTCAGCGATGTTAAACAAGATATCCAAAATACGCAAGGCTGCTGGCAGCCACCGAGACCTGAACTGCAGTGGCAGGTCATCGCTTTTTCGGGGGGGGGAGGGGGGGGGGATGTCTCTCCTCTTCTGAAAGCGGTGACTCATGCTGGCAGTTCAACCAATATCCCAATATCCAGTTCAAGTAGCCATTCTTCAAATGATGGCCAAGCTCAATCTTGACCTCACACAACAACCATACACAGGAACTTTCAAGAGACACTGAATAGCAATCACAAGATGGAATCTTAGTTGACCTTCTCCTCGCTCGCCCAGGAGCTCCAAGATTAACTATAGCCCTACCAAGATCAGCCAACATTACCGAAGTTCAACAATTAAACCAGCAATCTTGTTTTTGTGGCCCAGAGCTACCAGGCTAAGGGAGAGCTGACTTATTCAAAAATACATTATTGTAATTTGATGACCTGCCAAGATTAACACAATCAAAACTCAACTGCTCTTTCAGATCCTATGGGGATTCTTCGCCAAGACACCGGGTAAAACTTATTTCTCTTCTCAATAGGGCCATGTGATCGTTAACATCCACCTAAATGGGTGGGGGGGGGCAAGACATCTTATTTTTTAATGTTTCATCTAAAAGACAGCACCTCCAACAATGCAGGGCACCCCAGCATTGCACAGGAGTGTCAACCTAGACTGCGCGCTCAAATTCCTGACATGCGGTTTGAACCCACAACTTTTGACTTAGAGGCAAGAGTGTTACCAACTGAACTAGACTGACTGACAACTGGTTGTGTCACCTTTAACTTAATGGATACATAGGAAATAAATCTGTCATCACTGCTCTAGTAGATTGAGTTCTATGTTTATCTTTAAAACTGGAATGAAAGAACATCAGATCTTTAAACTTAATTCCTTCTCCAAAGTTACAATCTGTGATGAACACTCTATTGAAATTTATAATCTTGTGATTGAGAATAGTCCAAACATAAGTACATACCGCTAGCATTTAACATTAATTGCACTTTACCTAAAGAGCACATCATAAGCATACCATCATAATTATGAAAAATTATTTGACGAGCAAATCAAATTTTGTGGATTTGTCTTTTTTGGGGGAAGGAGGGGGAAGGAAAGAGGAGAAAGAAACAACCAGCGGGCCCAACTCAGACAATTTTTTCCAATTACTTTAGGATGTGGATTATAGGTTGTACTATTTAGTAGACTGTGTAAAAAACGAATCCAAATCCACTAAATTTTATTTTGCACAATATGAATTTCTAGTACCTCAGATGTCCAGGGTATAGGCCCACTTGGCTGGAACAAATAAAATGTTGAAAAATCATTTTTTTAAAAACTGCCAAACCATTTATGGAATCTTGTACATTACCATCAGTTAAGAAGCTAATGGAAGCAAGAGAGTTCAGGAATACATCAACAACCATATTAGTATCTATAATAGCTAAACTGAGAAAATATGCACTATTATATTTTATCTAATTGTATTTGCACTTCAAACTAAAAGGCTGTTTTAAGTAAACAGGAAGTCAGATAAGAAATTATATATTAAAGGGTTACTTTATAATCTTTCTTCTCCCTCATTACTTAACACAACCATCGTTTAGAAAAACACCACATGATTTTGAAGCAAGGCTGGATCTGGATCTTTCTCAGGTCCTTTTTTTTTGCAAGATTACGACAGATATTCACTGCTTCACAGACCTCTTAATAAAACAGGCCGCAAAATCAGCTCCAAGGAACTCAATTACAAGGAGCTTGGAGTGGACGTACACCACTTATATATACTAGTGTGTGTATATATATACCAAGAGGGTTTAAGTATTTTGAAAAGCTTGAGAATATAAAAGCCAAAAGTCAGCAAACAAACAGTTAGCACACTCACTGGAATAAAGCACTTTTGGGAGAGGAGGCACGATTCATTAAAGCTAAAACGATACCATCAATATACAGCAAGTATAAGAATAGTCATTACAAAAACAACTGTTTTCTGCTTTAAATCTTATTTGTACATTTTGAAGCATTCGTAGACAAATGAGGGCTTTAATAAACTCCCTTCTCGGATTGAGTAAGAGATGCTGCAACTGTATAGGGCTTTGGTGAGACCGCACCTAGAGTAGTGTGTGCAGTTTTGGTCTCCTTATTTAAAAAAGGACATACTTGCCCTAGAGGGGGTGCAGCGTAGATTCACTCAGTTAGTTCCCGGGATGAGGGGACTGACCTATGAGGATAGGCTGAATAAACTGGGGCTCTATTCTCTAGAGTACAGAAGAATTAGGGGGGATCTTATAGAAACTTATAAGATTCTTAAAGGACTGATAAAGTAGACACTGAGGGTCTGTTTCCCCGGTAGGAGAATCTATAATCAGGGGTCACAGTCTTAAAATTAAGGGTCAGCCTTTTAGAACAGAGTTGAGGAAACATTTCTTCACTCAGAGGGTAGTGAACTTCTGGAATTCACTACCCCACAAGGCTGTAGATGCTCAGTCCTTGAACATTTTCAAGGCTGATAGATTCTTGAAAAATAGAGGGGTTAGGGGATATGGGGATAGGGCAGGTAATCCGAGTTAGGTGAGAAGATCAGCCATGATCTTATTGAATGGCGGAGCACAGGCACGAAGGGCCGAATGGCCTACTCCTGCTCCTAATTCTTATGTTCTTATGTTCTTATAGTTGAGCTCACTGTAGCTTATCTTTAGGAGTGAACACCCATCAATGCAAAAATTATTTCAATGCATTCGTTAAACTTTTGAAACAAAAAAAATAAGTGGTTAGTGTTCATATGGAACAATTTCTCCAGTCATAGAAATTTTATAGAATTTATAAATATCTAGAAGTGTTGCAGCAATCAATTACCACCAAATTCCAACTTCGTTACATCTTAAAACACAATGTTTGGCAAAAAATTGCAATATCTGACTCAGAGGGCTTCTGACTAAGATGTGAGCTAGAAATGGGGATTAAGGAAAAACAAGCGAGTTAGAAAACAGCGAGCTTGCCTCCTTTTTTATTGAAAGTTCATTTGGGCTATGACACCATTAGCTTCTTATTACTTTGTCGAGACATCTCAAGGCACTTCACAGGATATACTGTAAAGTGTATTGAATGTATTTCGACACCATTGAGAACAGTTTCTCCCAGTGTCCTGACCAAAAGTCCCCAGATTAAATAGTTACACCTTATGGCTGTTTCTGGGACCTTGCTGCAGCTTTCGCTTACAAAATGAGTCACTAAGTAATTTTCCGTGAAGCACTTTGTGACGTTTGATGTCATAAAATGCAAGTTTTCCTTCCATCACTCCTATAACTGGAATACTTATAAAACTAGAACTGAAAACACAAAGCACTTAAAAGGTCAGATACAATGACTTTAAGAAAACAGTCTTATTGTAGTTATAATGGAATGAAACCCATGCACTCTTAAACCACCAAGTAAACCAGCAGCATTAAGACCACACAGAATAAGGAAAGCTGGAACACTGTGGGATGAACTAAAAAACTAATATTAGTCATACCAGAATACAGTATTGAGGAATGGACCTTAAACCTAATCAGAAATTCCTTTGACTTTAACCCTCATAGTGTCTGAGCTTCCATGTAAACTGATAAAACTCTTTTCCCTTTAGTAACAAACATCAAGGGAAAATAATGATTAAAAATGATAAATGGGAAACAGATTTTAAAAAATGGTTTCTGCATAATCTTTGAATTGTACTTTAGTTAATCACCACAACTGCAGCATGTTAACTGTATAAATGTTGCCACTACATATATCATGATAGCTCTAAATATACAAGAATCACAGCCAAACCATTAATTTCTTTCTCCTTCAGTTGATCATATCAAGGTTGGATTATTGTCTTATGGCACTCAATGTCAAGCCTTACAAATGAAGATTTGAGCATTGACTAGAAATAAAGTCAGCAAGAGGCACTGCCTGAATAGGGTGACCTTCACATATGCAGTCAGTCTCGCTTTGTTTTCAATAGAAAATAAAATATTTAATGGACAGAAGTGTTTTTTTTCCTAAATGGAGCAAATTAGTTTCAAAAGCAAATGAGACACATTACTGCAGTGCAACAGTAACACTCCTATAATCAGTGCAGATATTCATTACCATTTGGTAATGTTGTATCTTATCAAATTATTTTCCTTTAAAAGAGCAACATCGCTTAAATTACCGAATTCTATTAAATGTCTGTTTCCCCAATTTTTTTAATTGCTGTGGGGGGTGGGAGAGAGGAATTGCATTGACCTGTACGATCAACAAGTTTCTCCCAAACAGTTGTGATCCTAGATCCAAGATTGAAGCTGTTCAATTCATTCAGTAATGCATAATCTGTCACTTGTAACCAGTTAAACCAAAAACCTAATATTGCACATAGTTGTATAAATTATATCAAATATTCTTCAACCAAGAATTTGTATATTTTTCACTTAGTGAGTCCTAAGTGAAACAGGATTTCTGAGGGTATGATTGTACAATTGGGTGGAATCCCATTACAACATATGTGGATCAGATTATTTGGCTTTAACTAGTCACAGCGACAAGAATTAGTTCTATCCATACAGGAAAACAAATGGTCATTTGATAGATTTTCATGTATTGTATAGTGCATTTACAATGGCCGGACTACTTTCTGCTTGCACAAACTTGATAAGGAGCACACCTGTGTGCAGTCTCATTAATTTTTTTGAGTTACTGCCTGAGGTTAAAGCACAGAGAGTTTAAAGACAGTTGCTCAGTGTGGTT